ATTCTGTCTGGGGTGAGATGATATCTCATAGTTGTTTTGATTTGCATCTCTCTTAGAGCTAGGGATTTTGAACATTTCTTCATGTGCTTGTTGGCCACCTGAATGTCTTCTTTGGTGAAGTGTCTGTTCATATCCTGTGCCCATTTTTCAATTGGATTATTTACCTTTATCTTGTTGTGGTGTTTTAGTGTATTCTTGAGTCTTAAAACATTAGCTACACACTGATTTTCCTGGTCTAAACTCTTTCAAGGAGTGCCTTAACTCAGTAAACCATGAGAAGATAAAAACAGATGGGAAAGTCAGAGTCTGAAAGTTTTAAAACAGGAGTCACCTTTGAGGTAGAATCAGAGTCCTATTGTTACCTTAATAGGAGTGACTAGATTACAGGGTGGAGTCAGACTGCAATAGTCTAGGGATTTAAACTCAACAGAGTTCCTCAGAATAGTTTCCCTAAACTAAATGGGTACTTCTCTTTGGAATATTTTAAAATTTTTTCTTGCTTGCTACGGAAGAGATCATAGGGTACTGCTTCCTTAGCCTCACTAACTTTGTATAAAACCCTATGAGGGGAAATGGATTTCTAACTTTTCAATGCAACTAAATTCAGAGATGCTCAGAGTCAAAGGTTACATCTAAATACTGGTATTCTTGGTAGGAACATCAGGTGTGGATATCCAGGCACAGAAGCAGGAGGCCTCTGGTGAGTACTGGCACACTGCCACCATGAAAGATGATCGTCCTGTTGTCGCCTACCAGTTTTGGGGTTTTTTCCTAGTTCAATTCTTTATCTGGGCAAGAGAACTGAAATCAGGGCAGTTATTGAGAGTAACAAAATTTACAGTATGCTATGAGGTAAAATGTTTGTTCTGTACCATCAAGTCAGAATCTACCAGTGGGTTTTCAGAGGCTTTATATCACATGGGAAGAGACTGACTAGAAGAAGAATGTCACAATTGCTCCCAGGTCTGATCATTCCTTGAAGAACCCTGATAATGTCTATCTCTTGATAAAGCTCTGGGCCTGATTATAAAAGCCTGCACCCAAGTTAAGTGACAGGACAACCCCCCCAATTCCCAAACTACTTCTTCCCCATTGGTGGTGGTGTTGATTGCCAGTTAAGAATGACTCACTTCTCATAAAGACTCTATTAACAAAAGACCTGAAGCCTTCCTGTGGTCCTTTCTCAAAGTTTATAGTTTCCAGAGGCATGTTGTTTAGGAAGTGGATGCCACTTCTGCTTCTGGACCTCCCTAAAACCTTCTATAAAAAGGACATTATGCTGAGTGAGGTATCTCAGTCACAAAGGGACAAATGATATATGGTGCCACTGTTGTAGAATGAGGCTGGCATTGGGGTGGGGGTAAGACTGAGAAAAACTGGATGAAATATGTTTAC